AATGTTTTAGGTGATACTTAACCACACGCATAAGAAAATGTTCCTTAACATCCTCATTAAAAATAAAGGGCTGTTGTACCTGGCAAATTCCACGAGCTCTGATGTTAAATATTAGAAGCACTCAATGAGGCCTATAAGGTTAAACCATTCTCTATCCATTAATCCTGTGTTTTCCTGTCCTTTTAGCTTTGGATTAACCAAAATAAAACACCATGAATCACAGACTTCCAAAGCACAACTTCAGGAGGTTCACTGATCAGACATTTGACATTGGTAGGTAATTAAAGTAAGCTATTTCAAGAAAAAGACCAGCAAGTAAATAGATGTACACCATTACTGTGAATGTCCCACCAACAGTCCTAGGTACCTTTCTAGAAAAGACAGGATAATTAGGTGGAATACTGGAGGTGGGCATAGTATTGGTATCTGAACACAAAACCTCACAATTACTAGGCTGCTGGTGGCTCACATCTGTAATCTTAGCTACTCAGAAGGCTGAGATATGAAGACTGCAGTTCAAAACCAGCCTGGGCAGGAAAGTCTGTGAGACTATCCCAATAAATGACCAAAAAGCTAAAAGTGGTGCTGTGGCTCAAATGGCAGAGAGCTGGCCTTGAGCAAGAGAGTAGGGGGCGGGGGTTGGTAGAGGAAAGGAGAAAGTGAATGCTCAGGGACATTGCTCAGGCTTTGGGTTCAAAAGTCCCACTCCCCACTCCCTCCACTCCGCTGCCCAGGGCAGGGAAAGAACTCACTCACAATTGGTACACAGGTGCTCCACCACTTGTGTGCCTAGGTGTTTTTTTTTTCTTTGTCAGTCATGGGGCTTGAACTCTGGGCCTGGGCGCTGTCCCTCGCTCTTCAGTTCAAGGTGAGCACTCTACTGCTTAAGCCACAGTACCACTTCTGGTTTTCTAGTGGTTTATTGGAGATAAAGGTCTCATGGAGTTTCCTGCCTGGGCTGGCTTTGAACCGTAATCCTCAGATCTCAGCTTCCTGAGTAGCTAGGATTACAGGCGTGAGTCACTGGCACCCAGCCTAGGCAGTTATTTTTAATATAGGATTGCACTCCCAATCTGGTTACAGGCTTGAGCCACCACATCCATACTCCCCCACTGTGAAGATGGGAATCTCACCAATTACCTAGGCTGGCCTGACACCATGATCTTACCAATCTCAGCTTCCCAAGTAGTGAGGATTTCAGGTGCAAGCCACCAGCACCTGGCCAATGAGTTGATTTTGATGACCACAAGCACAAGCTTTTTTGGTTTTGCTTTTTGTTTAAGGGACACCAAAGTTGAGCATGCCATTTACTAGATCAGATAAGGGAGGGGAGAGTATGAAGACCCTGGAGCTGATCATTGCAGAACTGGAAACAGCACAGATCACCATTAAATGGAAAGCGTGGAGCAGGGCTGGGGAGGGGCTGCAGGGGAGAGTGCCTGCCCACAGGGACCCAGGAGAGGCTGGGCTCAGTTCCTCACCTCATGTGTTGCTGGGGGTGGGAGGGAAGCCCCCATACACAGCCCCATACACAGATGTGGAGCACAGGCTTTCATGTAAGGTTTGCTTATGGGAAGGGTGATGTCCACTTTTTTTTTTTTTGGCTTATCTTCCCAGAGAAAGACAATGATTCATTTCTTTGACACACACAGTCCATGTGAATCACAGTCCTTGAACATAAATGTTGGAAGCCCTAAATGATCTCCTAGTTTATTAAGAAACAACTAGAAAGAATGGGGCAGGTGCAGTAGAAACCATACATCTAATTTTAATAGAGCTGGTTGAGCACCGACTGTTACGTATGCTCTATTCCTTAGCCCCTGTGACAAGTTTGGAAAATGGAAAATTGGATGGAAGCAGCTGAGTTGATGGAGGCCAGGTTCAGCTATCAAGTGGTAAAGTTCGAGTTCAAAACAGGGGGCCATCCCCTGTTCTGGCCCTCCAGGCCCAAGGACTCTCCATGGTGAGTTAGGGGGTGAAGGCCGAGACGGAGCAGGGTGGTCTCCACACCCTTCTAGTCCTCAACCCCGCACACAGAAGGCTCAGCTCCTAGATAAGTGAGCACTAGAAAAGGAGCACTAGCGATGAGACTTCTCACTGCTGATGAAACTCAAATGGAACCCAACCTTGCATCTGGCGGCAGTATAACACACGGAGAAACTCAGAACACCTGGTGTTGCGTAAGGAGGGGGTGTTCCAGCAACTTCTGAGAACGACACCAGCCTGACGTAGTCTAAGAAAGACAAATAGTGATCTCTCAGCCTTTTCAGGTGGTGTGGGCCTGTCAGCCGGCCCGACCCCGGCAGCCATGCTGACCTGTAGGTGCCCTGCCCGGATGTCACCTCCTGTCCTACTGAACACAGCACCCTGAGGCTGCCGCGCATGCACCTCACCTCTTCCACCCGGGGATGCTGCCAAGTGCATCAAGCAGGCGAGAAAAAAAGCCAAAAAAAACACGCCCAAGCCAGCAGGAATTTATTGCCCACACCATTCACTAGGCACTGCGCCTGAGACTCGGATCTGATCAGAATAACAATGATCACAGTAGCCAGCACACACTGAGGGCGGCCCATGCCAGGCCATAAAGACTCACTCCACAGCCCCAGCTCTGTGAGGTAAGGGCTTTTTTTAAAAAAAAAAAAATCATTATTATTTTTTTGGTGTGGTAAGGTTCACTCTAGGAAGATGAGGTAGGCTTCTCGCTCCTCTTGGCTAAGTCTCCATACCTGTATTACCTAGGTAACTGGTACACCTGGAGGTCACATTCCCCCCTCCCCCCCCCTCTTCCCATTAGACCAGGGGAGGACCCTAGGCCCTGAGGTCATATTTGCATCCAGTGTGTGGCCACACATTCCCTTACCTAGCCCCTTCCCAGCCATGCTATGCCTCTCCACCATGGGGGGGGGGGGGGAGAGGAGGAGCAGCAAGTCTAAATACTTCTTTTCCTGCCTGAATACCACATGGCGCTCTCTTCATCATCTACCTAATTAAACCTAGTATATTTAATTTATCTTATAGATGCCAGTCCCGGAGCTTGAATTCAGGGCCTGGGAGTTATCTCTGAGATTCTTTTTCTCAGGGCTAGTGCCCTGCTTTTTTGTGATTAACTGGAGGCAAGAATCTCATCCTGCCCTGGCTGGCTTCAAACCACATCCTCAGATCACACCAGTGGCCTGAGGGACGAGAACCTGGCTGGTGAGGGTTATTATTATCATCCACATGTTCTCAGGGAGGACAGTGAGGTATGAAGAAACTTGACCGTGGTCACACTGCTAGGAAATGGCAGCTGCAAACCCAGGTCTGGCTTCTGAATCCACACTACTGAGCATGCCAGGAAGGAAGGAAGGGAGGGAGGGCACAAAGGGCAACAGCACTGCCCCCGCTTTCAACAGCCTGGAGCTTCCTCGTGAAAGCAGAGACGCGCTGTTGGGCAGCACCTACAGAAGCACTGGGCAGGCGCGGGTTGTAGCGCAGGCGCAGGTCCCATCGCAGGGGCATGGGCGGCCCACCTGTGAAGTGCGGTCAGGAGCCCACCTGAAGGGAAGGACCTGTCACAGGACCCTGGGGTGAAGAAAAGCTGGAGAGACTGGGGCTGTGCACACCGAACGCCAGAGCTGTGCCCCGTGTGCTGGAGGAGGAGGCTGGAGAAAAAGGGCTGGAAAGTGAGGCCGGGAAGGCAGGATCCTGGAGGAGCTGAAAATGCAGGAGTTAGCAGAACAGGAAGCCATGGAAGGTTTGCACGGAGGAACCAGCGGCATTCTAGAACAATCCATGGAGGTGGAGCAGGCAGGTGGCTGGTCACGGGGGTAAGAAGGCAAGCCCGGCTGGAGGAACGGGGACTCAGCTCCCAAGTGAAGTAGCCACAGCACCTGGTGACCACGAATGGGGCGGAATTATGGAAACAAGGGCAGAGAAAGTACAGAACCGGCTTGTAGACACATCCACGGTCTCGGGCATGTTAAGAGTTTAGTTAGGTTATCCGAAAGGAAACTGCCACGTGGTCTTCAGGCAGGAAAGAGAAGTTGACTCCTAACCATCCCCCAGTGCAGGTTGGAGACACACATGGAAAAAGGGGGAGAGCACCTGGCTGGCCAGGAGGGGAGAGGGTGTGGCCACGCTGCCTGTGGACATGACCTCAGAGCCTGGGAACCTCCCAGTCAGAGGAAGGCCTGAAGGGCTGGTCCAGGATATGACCCCAGGTTGTCAGTTACCTAGGTAACACAGGTTCAGGACAGAGACTTAAACAGGAGGTGTCAGGGGAGTCTATGTGCAGATTCACACAGGGACTTGCAGGGCACTGGAGGCATGGCTCCAGAGGTACAGTGGCCTGCCTCACAGGCACAAGGCCCTCAACTCAAACCCCAGTACAATCAATCAAGCAAATGAATAAGGTTTTCATCTATCTCCTCAGCTTATGAGTGATGAGAAGCTGAGAATAAAAGGAAAAGCTTTCTGTCCAAGAAAAGAGGAAGAGAAGATACGAAAAATAAAAAGTGCAATTTAAAGTCAATTTGGGAATGCAAAGAAAAGAGCCAAGAGCCCCTTCCTCTTGTAGTGGGTCAGGAGATGATCCTTACCACTGGAGAAAGGGTCATCTGTAACAGGTGTGCTCACTTTTAATGAACAGGAGAAACAGGAAATGGATTTTATTAAATGCAGGGTAGATGTCTTAGAAATAGCCGACTAAAAAGTCCTCTGTGAGATAGAAAATTCACATAACATGGAAGACCTGGCTCACCATCACGACGGTTAGTGAGCACAGTCCTAGGGCGGCAATCAGCTCAGGCCCTCCAAACACAGCCCGCTTCCCTCAAACCAGCAACCTCCCTTCTCTCATCACCATTCTGACTGCTGGTGAGCTGTGCCTGGTTCTGTTCACAGCGACACTGAACCTTCATTTCAAGGCCAGCTACTCTAGCAATGACTTGAAGAACTGCCACAGAGAAACTAGAAGCCACTGCCAGGCTCAGAACTGATCAGAGTTAAAACAGACTCCTTACCTGTCCCTTATTATGACATCACCGCAGGACTGGCAATAAAAGGTGTAATGTTCCTGGGCTTGTGGGCTTTGATTAAACACTGAAACCAGTTCTAAAAGAAATCAATGAAATAGCAAGCCTTAGATGACTGGAACAAATGTATTAACATACTTAACAAGCTTACTAGCCACAATAACTTACCATAAACACACACCAATTACCATCTTCTGCTATTTCATTTAAAATTTCATTTCTAAACAAATGAAACACTAAAGGATCTGTCCGTGTTCAAAAAATTGAAGAAAAAGGGCTGTAGCCATTAGAAGCAGCAAGCAATCTTAAGTTCGTGTTAATTTGTATGAATTTTAAGGATTACAACCAACACATACAAAATCACGAAATACTGGAAAGTTTAAGCCTTAGCAATAATTGAAAATACCACAGTATAATTTCTCAGGGTCCACACAAATCTCTAGTGTACAAAGGTGAAATAAAATATTATCCTTTATCTATGGGCAGAAAAGAAGAGGCCCTAGCTAAGGAACCCACATTCATCCTTCCAGAGACAATAAACACATTTCCAGTGTAACACTGCCCTCTGCTGGGCACTGGCCCAGCTTGAAGGCCAGAATTGTTGGACTGGGGAGGGGGGGAGTTTGGGGGAGGGGGGAGTCTGGGGGGAGGGTGAGCACCGCCTATCAGACAGGGCTGAGGCAGGCCCTCTACAGATCCAGCTGTTACTCTAATGGGCAAACAGGACACATCCATATAATGCTAACTACAGCTGTTGCCAAAAGGGTGTTTTTACAGTTCAAAAGTCAAATGTTAAAAACCTCAAAACCCAAATCTCAACAGTGCTAAAAAATTCCAAGTCAGGTTAGCCTATGCTCACTTCAGCATGCACCTTCCTGATAATTATTCACACATTGGCAGAAAGCTTAAAGCAATTAAGTGCCCCGGAACTTACTTTGCATACCCTGTCACACACCACAGCACAGGCCTTTGAGTGCCTGACTTTCATACATTCTAATAAAATAAACAGGAGGCCAGGGAACACAAACAATATGCAAATCCACACAGAACCATCCATTCTGTAGTCCAACAGCTAAGACTAAACAGTGCATGTTGATCTAAATTTTGAAAAGAATTTCCAATAGTACTGTGAGCCTGGTGCTCTCAATTTCTCTGTTCCCAAGTTCCCACAGTGGCTTCCAGGCCTGGACACACAAGACTTCTGCTATGGCTACCAATGCTGGAGGAGAAGGTGAAGACACAGAAAGCCCAGAGCCTCAGCCTTAGAGCACAGCTTCTCCAAAAGTCCATCCTTCTCTCCACAAAGTCCAACCTCATTCCTAGTGTCACCTACACCATGAAGACCAGATGAAGACCAGGACAGCCTTCCTCCCCAGCCCTTGTGAAAAACCACTCTGTACCACTCACACTAGTCATCCCAAAATCCAGAACCGCAGTCAAAATAACACATCTTTTCCTATCTTTCCAGGAAACGAGGCGCCCAGTGGCTCACAGCTGTAGTCCTTCCTACTCAGGAGACCGAGACTTGATGACTGAGGTTCAAGTCAGTCCAGGCAAATCCATGAGGCTCTGATCTCCATTTAGCCAGCCAAAATCTGGAAGGGAACTCTGGCTCAAGTAGGAGAGTGCCAGACTTGAATGGAAAAAGCCAAGCCACAGTATAAGGCCCTGGATCAGCACCAGCAAGCACACACGTGCACACCCATGCACACCCCCCCACACACACAACACACACACACAAGCCAGGGAACTGCTCAACACCTGGAGGCTCCTTAGGGCAGTCCTTTGCCCCTCTTCCAGGCTCCACATAGCTCCAAGGAAAGACTCATTACATGGCCGAGGCAATGACATCCGAGGCGGTAGGGGAGAGGATGCAAGTTCCTCTCTGCTAATAGCCACAACATCAGTCCTTCACAAACTGTGTCCTCAAGGAAGCAGTCACTTTATGCAATAAATAATCATGAGATCTTATAGGAAGACACTCTTCTACAGCCTTACTGAATTTGTATGTCATCCCATCCCTGAAATTGTAACCATCTTAGCAACAATCAAATTCCACAGCACTGTTTACCCATGCACGCATCTCCACATCTGCAATGGTGTCTGCCCGATGGGTAAATTCCACCACTGCATCCTATGGTCAAACGTCATATCCTGACTTTCAGTCCTTCACTCAAGCCTGAGTCGCTGCCTGTGCTGTTATTTTGGCTTTGTTTAACCTCAGTACTTTGCTAAGCGCAAGCTTCACTTATGTGTTCTGATCTGGGCCCATCTCTTAGAAGGCATGCTCCAAAAGAGGATGTTCCCTTCTATATAATGGGCAAGATCAATGCTCTGCACATACTATGAGCTGATTTGCTGAATAAGTGGATCTCTGGGAATGTTGGCTTTGAATCATGATCTTATATCAATGTGACATCTCATGTCAGATTCTTCACAATTACAATCTGGTAAGCCAGGAAATTTTATCATTCAAGAAACAAGACAAAGCCAGGTGCAGGTGGCTCATGACTATAATCCTAGCTACATAGGAGGCTGAGATTTGAGGACCAATTTGAAACTAGCTCAGGTAGGAAATCTGAGAGTCTGATCTCCAATTAACCATGGGGAGAAAAAAAAAGCCAGAGTGGAGGTGTGACCCAAGTGGCAGAATGCCAGCCCAGTAAAAAAGCCAAGTAAGAGTTTGAGGCCCTGAATTCAAGCCATAGCACCAGTCCAAAGGGGGGGAAGGGGAGGAGGAGGGATGGAAGGAAGCAAAAATAAAGGAAGGAAAGGAAGGAAGGAAGAGAGAGGGAGAGGGCCCCCATGGGACAGGAAAAATCTCTGTACCTTCAGCTGACTGTTATGAACCTAAAAGTGTTCTAAAGCTTAAAGTCTATTTAAAACAAAAAAACTAAAACACTAAACAAAGCCTTAGCAGGGTAGCCTGAGCCCCGGGGACTCCCTCAGTCTCCAGCCCTCTCAGGCCACGGATGACCAGTCTTTCCCTTAGGCAAAGCACACCTTGAAGGGAAATCACCTCTGACTCATCTAGTAAACTCAAAGGGGCCACATTACTCACTGGGGCAGGGCTCAGCGCAGGCCTGCAGGCGCAGGTGCAGTCCATCTCCGGGTACATACTGCAGCCCACCGCAGGTAGAAGGGGCCAGCCTGACCTCTGCTGGAAGCTGGATGTCAGTGCAGCCCTCTGGGCTTCTCACCTGCAGGGAGGACCACCTCACACTCACTTCCAAGGGCAGGCCTCCTTCTTTGGGTTCGCTGGTAATAGAAATATAAAACATACGAATTACTTAAAGAAACAGGAGCTGACAAAGATCTCAGCGCCTCTCCCACAGAGGCCCTAACATCAATGACCCAGAAAAACACTAGCAAAAAGATCTTGAAGGAAGCCATCCTCACTGGACCTAGGCCAGAAAGGACCCTTTACTGCCATTGTAACATCAAAGTCCTGTGTCCTGGTTTTTATCCTTGCTCCTCAAACCAGCATTAAAATAAGCTGAGCTTGTTATGTTGGCTCACACGTGTAACACAACTCAGGAGCCTGAGATATGAGTTCGTGGTTCAAAGCCAGCCCAGGCAAGAAAGTCTGTGAGATTCTTATCTCCAATTAATAAGCAAAAAGTTGGACATGGAGCTGAGGCTCAAGTGGTAGAGAGCCAACCTATAATGAAAAAGCTCAGGAAGAGCGCCCAGGTCCTGAATTCAAACCCTGATACTGGCACAAGAAAAATAAAGTTTCAAGATATTAAGATCTCACTCCCTCTATGTGAAACAGCTGTCACAAGAAAAACATACAAAATGTACTCAGGGGTCCAAAGCATTAAAACTGCTGCTAACAAGGGGGAGAAAGCCTCTTTCTCCCAAAGTTTGTGTAGTCTCCTTGAAATGAATGAAGCAATAAGATCCAGTGTTCCTCTCCTGTGCTCCCTGCACATAGGTGTTCTAGTGATCTAGTGACCGTCCACATCTGCACACACAGGTGTTAGTGGCCATCTATGTCTGCACCCACAGGCATGTTAGTGACGTTCATCTCTGTGCACACAGACATGTGACATCCACGTTCATGTGTGCACACACACAGGAGTGTTAGTGACATACACGTCTGCGCACACACAGCTGTTAGTGACTGTCCACATCTGCACACACAGGTGTGTTAGTACGTCCATCTCCGGACACATAGAGGTGTTAGTGATGTCTACGTCCATGTACACACATGAGTGTTAGTGCCGTTCATCGTGCACACACAGGTGTTAGTGATGTCCACATCTGCACACACAGGTGTGTTAGTGACGTCCATCTCCACGCACACACACAGGCAGTGTTAGTGACGTCTACATCAGCACACAGGCATGTTAGTGACGTCAGGGTCTTCACACACACACAGGCGTGTTAGTGACGTCCACGTCCGTGCACACACACAGGCGTGTTAGTGATGTCCACGCGTGCACACACAGGTGTGTTAGTGACGTCCACATCCGCGCGCACACAGGTGTTAGAGGTCCACATCTGCACACACAGGCGTGTTAGTGACGTCCGCGTCCGCGCGCACACAGAGGTGTTAGAGAGGTCCACATCTGCGCACACACAGGCATGTCAGTGACGTCCGCGTCCGCGCGCACACACAGGTGTTAGAGGTGCACATCTGCACACACAGGCGTGTCAGTGACGTCCGCGTCCGCGCGCACACACAGGTGTTAGAGAGGTCCACATCGGCACACACAGGCGTGTTAGTGACGTCCGCGTCCGCGCACAGCAGGCTGGGAGGGGAGGAGGCCTCGAGGCGGGAACCACCGTGCGCTGGAGCCCGGCAGACAGGCCGCTGCCTCGGGCACGGACTCCATCCCGTGCCCGGTGTGCGTGCTGGTCCTGAGCCTTGAACTCGGGCCCTGGAGAGGGTCCCTGCGCTTCCTGCTCAAGACCAGCACGGCGGCTCCGCGTGGCCGCACCGTCCGGCTTCGGCCTCCGGGGCAGCTGGGGCCGCGGGCGTGCGGGCGTGCTCGGAGGCTCGGGTGCCGGCCCGGGGCCACTCTAGGTAGTCGAGGCGCGGCAAGCGTCTGGAAGGAAAACTCGGAGGTCCCGCAGCCGGCGCGCCCCCTGCCCCGCGCCCCGCACTCTCACCCCACTACCAGTAGCGCGCTCTGCAGCCGTCTCCGCACCTCCAGGAACGCACGCACCTCAGCCGCCATCGCCGCGCCGCGAGGGGCGGGCGAGGCGTCGGGGCGTGGCCAGCGGCGGGGCGTGGCCAGCGGCGGGGCGTGGCCAGCGGCGGGGCGTGGCCCGGGGCAGGGGCGGAACCTGGCCTGGGGACAGGTTCTAGCGCCGGGGCGGGGCCCGAGCGGGGCGAGGGCTGGAGTTAGGCGGGTCCTGTGGTGGGGCGGGGCCGCAGGGAAGGAGCCGCACGTGTGGCGGCGGCAGGGGCGACGCCCACCCGGAACTGGGGCGGGCGCCGAGCGCCCTCTGCCGGGCGCCGAGCGCCCCACGCTGGAGGCGTGGGAACGGAGGCGTGGTCCGAATCCCGCCAGGCCTGTGGCTTTACCGGGTCTGCAAACTGCTGCAGAGCGTGGGATCGCAGGCCCGAAGACGAGACTCCCCCCGGGCGCGCGCTTACAGTATTTTACAGAAGCAAAACTAACGCAGAGAAACCCTCATTTCATTGCTGCTGGAAAGTGATTTTTGAAAGTCTTACAGGACAAGCCACGGGATCTTGTGGGTCGCAAGTACTTCCACTGGAGAAATAAAAGACTGTAGAACACACTGGAACTGCAACGGGACTTCTCGAAAGACAGAAGGCTATAACCAGCAGGGATAGTTCGTGTAAAGCCAAACCATTGGGGTTCCATTTTGTCATCTCAAGGTCACAATGGCCGTACGCCAAACATAACTTGGAAGCATTCTGAAAAAAGTTCTTGAATGTGTCTAATGACACTAAGTTTCCTAAGGTGCGGTTTGGAGGTTGTTATTTTTAAGTTTCCCTTGCGTTGGCCCCGGGCCTCGAACTCACGTTCTGGACGCTGTTACTTACGTTTTTTGCGCAAGGCTAGCGCTCCACCTCTCGAGCCTCAGCTCCATTTCCAGCTTTTTGCTAGTGAGTGACAGCCAGGGGCGGGGCCATGGGAGGGGTGGGCGCTGGTTGGAGGGGGCGGGTCCAGACCTGGGAGCGGGGGGGCGGAGCCGGGAGCGCGGGCCTCCGACGTCGACGCTGGCGTGCGCGCGCGGTGCACGCTGGGAGCTGTCACTAGGCCCCGCGCTCCGGGCCTCCGTTTCGCTTCCCGGTTGCCAGGAGAGCGGCGCCGGCGGGGGCGGCCGAGCCCGCGACCCGCGACCGCCTCTTCCTCCGCGAGCCCGCGACTGCTGACCGCGTCCGTCCCTCCGCGAGCCCTTGACAGGTGACCGCGTCCGTTCCCCCCCACACACGCACACTCCCCGCACGTCCGTGCCCGCGAGGCCGCGAACCGCTCCGGTTCCAGCCGGAGCCCGGCCGGCCCGGCCCTTCCGGCTGCGGTGGCGTCGGGTGTCGCCGCCGTGGAGCCGGGCGCCGCGCGGGGACCTCGGGCGCAGGGTGGAGGGTGACCGCGGCCGGGGTGGGTGGCGGGGAAGCCGGGCGAAGCGGGCCCCACGGCGGGGCGGGCGCGCCCAGTCAGCTCTTCGCCGGGGAAAACGAGGCACGGGGCGCTCTCAGGGCCGGACCCGCGGGGCGGGGAAGGAGTTAACCGCCCCGGCCTCGGGTCTCCAAGCCCGCGGCTCCCGGCTTCCCCGGTTCTCACCTTGCCCAAGGGGGCGGAAGGCCCGCACGCCGCTGGCGTGTGCGTTTTTTAGGGCAGAGTGGATGGTGTGCTAACCTTGCGTTACCCTAAAGTTCTACGGAACTGGAGAAAGTTCCAGATGAGAAGCAGCCGCCGTCGGTAGTCAAATCCATCCAAAGATGACAAAAGTAGAAGCCCAGAAATGTGGAGAGCCAGTGAAAGGAGCTCTTGTTGGACGTGGTTGGCTATTGTGTCTGTGGACATTTGGATTCTGTTTGTAAATGTTAATTGGGCTTCTAGAAATAACGCGTGTCAGCATTGTGTGCCAGAGTAACGAGCACAGTACCTGATAGTTCACTTGGTGATTGGGCATTGAGCACCAGTTAGGAGTAAATCAAAGCCCTAAGTGGTGTAGAGGTCTTATTTTAATGATTGCTTTCAGCAAAACTTCATTCCTCAGGAATGGCTAAGCAATCCCAGTCACCAGCTGGACTTCATTATTAGGGTGGCAGTTTTCAACAAAGCATTAAAAATCCCGAGGTTTGTTTTCCACAAGTGAAGCACGCCAGGAGTTAATGCACATTGAAGGTAAACGAGGAAATGTGACACTGTGACACCGGTGTTAAACATGATTTGTTATCAATTACACGTTTGCCTGCGTCACTCCAGAAGTCCTGTTCTGTAGAAGTCGCAGAAAGCGCCCTGGCCTGCATAAGTGCTGAGTTTATTGGTGACCTGTGTGCTCTCTCTAGGCCTTAGCTTTGGGGTGTGCCCTTTGCTTTGCTTTTTGTTTAGCAATGCTTGGGATGGACTCCAGGTCCTGGCCCATGCTCCCTATGCATTCTACCCAGTGACCCAAGCCTTCAGCCCAGGCTGATGTTTCCACTGAATACCAAAGCATTCATTAGGATTCCCCTAAAGACTGCTTAATAACATCCTAGTTACTGGGGAGACTGAGATCGGAGTATCATAATTCAAAGCTAGCCCCAAAACAAGAGTCTGTGATACTTCAGTTAGCCACCAAACAACAAAGTGGAGCTGGGGTTTAAGTGGTAGAGTGCCACAGTTAAGGAGCCACACTTGAGCCCTGAGTTCAAGCCCCAGTAACTACACACAATGAAGGTTATAGCAGATGGCTTGGGATCTGGAAGATCACTTGGTTAAGTGCAACTTTTGACATAAACACTTTTCTTACACAGACAGGACTCCTCAAAAGTTATGACTGTGCTTACATATACATAAATTTCAGAAGTTTGTTTTCATAGCATTTTCTAAATTTACCTAGCCAGAGAGCCTGTTTTCTTATAGTTATCCTGTTTGTATTTCTTAGAATAAAATTTGAAAATTGCTATACTTGAGCCAAGTCCATTTTCAACTCTAAAAATTCCTTTTGTTTGTTAGCACATTAAACAAAAGCATTACTGATCCTTAGTAAAACTTTAATATTAGGGAAACACACTTCTGTGAGTCTTTACTGTTCATTTTCAAGGGGATGTCTTCCTGGTCTCTTGACGCTTTTTTTGAACTATAATTAACTCATACTTTGAATTTGATTTTATGATCATTATTGATTTTATTCAGAATGGTGTTTTAAGAGTCCAACAAGTGAAGACATGCTGATAATCACATTACTTTTGTGATAACAATTTCCCTCTTCTAGTTAAGAATTCTTAAAACTAAAACCTATATTACCTGGAAGGTACTTAATATTTCATAACTACATAATTTTTAAGTAGGTAATCAAAAGGAGCTAAAGGCTAAAATGCATTCTGAGACGGTTATTTCTAAATTACTAGCAACAGGATCTAAGTGTTGAATGCATTCTTAAATTATTTTGCTAAATTCCTTAAAGTGGTATTGATCGCTTTTTGTCACTAATAAAAATAATTGGCATTAAAGGAGGACAGGACCTTGCTCAGGTCCCCTCTCCAGCCTTGGCTCTGTTGACACTCATTGTGGTGGGGCAGGATGTCCCAGCAGCAGGAGGCTGTGTCACCTCGTGGTAGACTGGAAGCCCAGACAGACAGACAGTGAGGACAGCCCTCAAGAGCTTTCCAGTGATCCGCTAACTTCAACTATGCACCTGCACTACGGTTTCCACCACCATGTGAAGACCACACCTCAGATCAGGGAGCCTTCTGTGGGGTGCTTCCTCTCCATACCACATCAGCTGATACTGGTATACTCCAGAACCCATGAAAATAACTGAATTCCCTTGTCTTTCTGCTTTTTAATTATTTTTTATTTTTCTGGAGTGAGAGCTCAGGTCCTCAAGCTTGCTCAGCTGGCAATCTTCCCTTGAGTCACCACTTCAGCCCAGCTTTTTGCTATATTTTGAATGTGGAATCTGGAGGACTTTTTTTTTTTTTTCACCAGAGCTGGCTTTGATCCTCCAGATCCCAGCATCCTCAGTAGCTAGAATTACAGGCTGGAGCACCAGCTCCTATTTGATTTAATTTGTTTTTAAGGGAGTGGTTGGTAGTACTGGGCTTTGAACTCAAGGCTCCAGACTTGCTAGGCAGGCTCTCTCCCACCTGAGCCCCCTTTTCTCTGATGTTTTTGAGTTAGGGTCTTGATTTGATCCAGATCTGCAGGTCCTCCAGACTACGATTCTCCTGTTTGTCCTTCTCCTCACTTGTTCTATTGAAATAGGATCTCACTAACTTTTTGCCCAGATTGTCCACTAACCACAACCCTCCTAATCTCCAAAAAGCTAGGATTACAGGTGTGAGCCGCTAGCACCTGGCTTCCCTTTTCTGTTCATTCTTTCTCTTAACCAAGCTGAGGCTGAAATTTCAGCAACCTTTCCTTTTGTAGGTCAATGATAATATCACATTTATAAAGGAAAAATTTTCATACAACAAAATGCACCTGTTTTGTGGTATGTTTCAAGGGTGTTTAAGGAATGTGTACCCTGTAGCCATTAACAAAATCAAATGGCTATGCCATCATCTGGACATCTGTATTCTTTCCTCTCTTGGAATTCTCTTTCTACATGTCAGTTCATGTCTGTGAATCCACTCTGATTAGCTCATTTTGAATTAATTTTTCCTCTGACCTTCCTATGTGTTAAGATTCTTCTCTGCACTTCTCTGATAGCTAGGCCATAGCAAGTACTTATTTATTGATCAGATGGATTAATGTCGTCTTTCTGAAACTTAGGTTATTCTTAGATCATCAGCAAAATTCTGGCCTTACTTGTGTATTTCCTGTATACCATTTCTTTACATCAGTGTGATTATTAAAATTGTTTTTAAAGAAAATTAGAAATAACTATATTAAAACCTGGTAGCTCTTGCCATAAACAAAAGGTAGACATGTAGATCAAAACAAGGAAAACAACAAAACAATGTTCTTGGCTTCTGACTACAAACCATAGTTCTCTAAAGAGATGCCCTTTGTTTAAAAGGAGCCTCGCCAGGATTTCTGTGATGATACCTTGCTAGCAGCAAGCAGACTCTCGTCTAGGTTCAGTCAGAGGAACTGGAAGAGCGGGAAGAAGGTGTGACTATGCTCGCTTGTTTCAGTGTCATGTAGCCCAGTCCTTCCAGGAGAGGGACTGGATCAATCTGGATTTCAGAGATTATGAAATCAAGCTTCATGTAGAAGTGTACTAGAGCTAATTTCAAAAATATAATAGGATGAAAACAATATTATTGAATCAGGTATCTTTTTCAAAAGTGTCCCTAAATGTTGCTTTTATAAATAAAACACTAGCATCATATACTCAGAGGTAACCTTCTAACTAAAAGGAAAAAAATCTTTTAAAAAAACCTATAGCAACCTTGTATATAATAACTGTTGTTACTGGAGTGATAAAATGCGAATATGCTTATCTGAATGCTCTGTAAAAGGCAATACACTTTTGTCACTTTGCATATATGTCCATCTTGGCAAGGGCAATTTTAGTCTTTTTCCCTGGGAAAAGAAAAAAGTGACATTCTCGGGGCTGGGAAGGTGGCTCAGTGGTAGAGTGCTTGCCTTGCATGCATGAGGCCCTGGTTTCGATTCCTCAGCACCACATAAGCAGAAAAAGCCGGAAGTGGTGCTGTGGCTTCAGTGGTAAAGTGCTAGCCTTGAGCTGAAGAGCTGAGGGACAGTGCCCAGGCCCAGAGTTCAGGCCCTACAACCGACCAAAAAAAAAAAAAGGCATTCCCTTATGGAAGGAGTTTCATATGAACCAGCAGGAAAATAAGTTCTCTGCCTTTTCCTTGTATATCTTTTAATGCGTCTTACATTTCTAGTTACTAGGTTAATGACCATGTATCTAGATTATAAACCTATTAGGTTCATAAGCAAAGAGATCAAATAAATACACCTGTACATAAAAAAATGACAAGTGATTATAATGGATAGTCAAAACACACAGTAATATTCTACTTGGCCAAAGATAGGTTGCTATAAATCTAAGGTTCAGATTTACAGCTTCAAATTGGAAGTTGAGCTGTTTGGGATGCATTCAGTCAGTATCCTGAGAGCCTTTTCCCAAACGACTGGGTTCTTGTTTCTTTTCTGTAAAATAAGGCAGCACTATAGAAAGTGTGAATAAACTGTCTCCATTGAGGAAAGACAACTCAGTAATCAGAAAAACTATCACAGCATGGCACTCTGTCCTTTGAATCAGCCAGGTAGATACCCCTGTATTTTTCAGTTGCTTCTGGTTGTTCCGATCCACTATAAAAGAGGGCTATAAAAAACATCAACTGTCTGAAACCCGTAGGATATTTGCCATTTCCATCACATTTTCCAGGTAAATTTCCTATAATGCTCTGTCAGTGTGGTCTCAGATCATCGAGTATGCCTGTTGCATTGCTTCACATTAAAGAACTCAAACAGTGCCTTTTTTTTTGGGGGGGGGGTCTGGTTGTGGGGCCTAAACTCTGGGCCTGGGCGCTGTCCCTCAGCTCTTCAGCTCAAGGCTAGTGCTCTATTACTTGAGCCACAGCGCCACTTCCAGCTTTTTTCTTTTTGCTTATGTGGTGCTGAGGAATCGAACTCAGGGCCTCATGCATGCAAGGCAAGCGCTTTACCACTGAGCCACCTTCCCAGCCCTCAAACAGTGGCTTTTTTATACACACTCATGTCTAATGAAGTGTCTCACAGAACTTCCTGAAGAGAGATTTTCTTCCAGGAATAAAAAAAGTAGAATATTGTTTTTATCAAGGTAGTTTTTAAGTCATTTTATAGGAAATACAGATTTAAGTGACTTCTTCCACCAACTACAAGTTCAGCTTTGAACCTAGATGATGGAGTTCTAGCGATGT